CTCCAGCGAGACGACCCGACTCACCTTCGGAGCCGCCTCGGAAATCGGGCCCCTCGGCGGCCTGCACTTTGGCCCTTCCGCGCCCCCGTACGGTGGCCAGGCCGGGTGCCGGGAGGACTCACCTGCACGATGTAAAGGGCGAAGACCAGGATCCCGCACCAGCTGTGCAGGCTGTACAGGTCGGCGTAGCCCATCTTCCTGTGGTAATCGAACACAGCCACCAGGCCTGGACCGGAGACGGGCCGTGGGAGGGCGGGGCAGGCACGGAGAGGGAGGGCGGGGGGAGGCCTGTGGGGAACTGGCTAGCGGGCACTTACCACGGCCAGCAGCCGGTGCCCCTGCCCGGGACACCTCGGGGGACGGGGAGAGCGTGCGGCAGGACCGCGCCGTTACGGGAACAGCGCATGCGCAACAGCGCTCCCCAGCCTGAAGCCGCAGGTAGGGAAGGGTACGGCTGTGCCCAGGAGCTTACCAACCAGGGAGATGATGAATGCAAAGACATGCAGCAGCCCGTGCAGGACCTTGGTTGTGCGTTTGGCCTCTTTCCTGAAGACACGGTAAACCAGCAGGGCTTACGGGAAGAGACAAAGGGAGGGTGAAGTGCGGGACGGAGGCCCTGCCGGTGACAGGGATCTGAGACCTGAGAGGAGGGCTCGCAGAGGGCTGCCGGTCACAGGGACCGAGAGGATGCCAGGGCCCCGTGCACACTCAGAGGCCAGGACGGGAGACTGTGACACAGCCCTGCCCTAAGCCACAGCCGGCCCAGGGGACACCCACCCCGGCTTCTCGCTAGGGAGCTCGTGAACTCATTCATTCAGCGTTTGGAGTTCAGTGGGCAGTCACACTGAGATCACAGCCAGACTCCGAGTTTACCGTTTAGGGATGTCACTCCCCCAAAGAGTCCGATTCTACAGCCTGACCGGATGGGCACCATTCCCGGCAAGCGGGCTCCTGGTGCTCAAAGTGGAACCTGTAATCCTAACCTAATCCTTACTATGTCCAGCTAAGGTGGACAGGATCAGGTCCTGTGGGGAGGCCTCTTAGGATCTGCTGCTGAGAGGCGGCTGTCGCCAGGCTATCTTGAGTGGCTCAAGCAGCTGTAGATGTAGCTTCCTGGTCCCCTGGCCACCCCAGGTAAAAGTGCTCTTGCTTGGCCAAGTCCAAGCACAGCGGCACACACATGTGCACACACCTCTTCCCATTCTAGCGGCCCCTGAAGATGGCTTAGTTCACAGCCTGGCCCTGGGCTCTCCGATCAAGAAAGCACCCCCAGCCCCAAATTTGAATTCCATCAAGGCCCAGATTTGCATCCCATCTCCTAGGCTTTAATCTCCAGCTTCCTCCTCTGTCCTTTCTAGAATCTTGGATTTGTCTAACTGGAAGAGACAGTAGAGGTGACAGGACCCCCACAAACTGCCTCTCCCAAGGGACAGCCACAAGCTCAGCTGCAGGAGAAAGGGTCCGGGAAGCCAGCCCCATAGAACTCACCATCTCCCTGCAGGAAGATGAGGCCTATGACCATGCAGAGGGGGTGCACATTAAACTGCAGGGTGCTCTCCCAGGCAATGCCGCCTCGGTACAGACCCAGCCAAGCACCAGTCATGGCCACCACGGTCAGGCCCAGCAGCTGGGAGAAGGCCACGTAGTATGGCAGTGTGGAGGGGGTGGAGACCTGGCCAGTCCCACTGTCCATGCTGAGGCTGCTGCTGCAGGGAAGAGAAAGAGCTCAGAGGAGCACCCCCCACCTCCAGAAGGTGCATCTGCCTCGCCAGGACTCCTGCCATCTTCCGCACCCTGTGCCCAAGCACTCTCATCACTCTCCCATTCCGAAGACCCTTTCCTGCCACCATCCTGGGACAGTGTCCCCAGAGTCCCAGGAGCAGCTCTGTGGGAGCCTAGGTCTTCCCACAAAGACAGCCCTGACCTGGGCTCCACGTGCAAGGCGATCGCAAGGGGAGACACACCACGCTCTGCTGGGAGCACAGTCCCAGGTCTGGGCTGTATCTTCTGTTTCCTGAGGCCCTGGGTTTTACAGGTAAATTACAGAGAAGTGAGCAAAGCCCGTCAGGTGCAGGGTCAGTTACTTCTTCTCGGATGGGTGAAAGTACATTTGGGATGAGAAACAGAAGCCTCCCCCAACCATGGTTTCTAAGCTCCAGGGCAGAGATGAGTCCTCCCCGGGGCGCCACCCTGGAAAGCCAGGCGTGGAGCCCTACAGTGGGCTTCGCTGTGCTGCAGAATAACTGCCCTGACCCTGCCGTGCCTGACAGCCATGCGCCCAGCAGCCTCCTTCCCCTCCTGCCCTGTTCCTCTCCACAGTGAGATTTCTCTTAGGTTAGATTTCTGAAACGGAAGCCACCAGAAATGCAGCCAACAAAGAATGCTGCCTCACATGTAGAACTCCCATGTGTCCACTGAGCTTGGGGCAGTCCTAGGCAGGAAGCTGAAGCAGGTATGCTCCTGTTCAAGGAGGTTCAAGACAGCCTGGCTCAGGAGACCCACTTGCGGCCCCAGTGCATGCACAGCCTCGCGACAGCAGGACAGCTGCAAGCCTTGCTCTTCACCCTGCATCTGTGGGTTTTCCTGTCCCCACGCCCAGCCCAGGGGCAGCCAGGAAGGGAGGAGGGAGCTGGGAGAACACACATGCCCTTCACAGCCTGGGCCTCCTCTCCCTTTGCCTCAGTGCTGGCTGTGGCCTGGGCTTCACAAAAAGGTCCTGCCACAATGGGACACCGCTATCAGCGTGGTACGCAGACGTCGGTTCTGGCCTGTGGCCCTTCCCTGGACAGCTGCTCAGCAGCAATGGTGACAGCAGGGAGGGTGACAGCTGCAAGCTGACTCTGTGGAGGCCCCTCTAGCACCAGTGCGTGCTCTACCCTGCAGGGCCCAGGATGGAGTTCGTAACCTTGTGATCAGGTTCCACCTGTCCTCGCCCATTCTCCGCCACACCTGACATCTGACAACTGGTGGCAATTCCGCCACTAAAAGAGGGAAGGGGGCGCTGGACAGGGGTGCACACCTGTAATCCCAACTACCAGAGAGCCTGAAACATTTTGAGGCCAGTTTGGCAACTTAACCAGATCCTATCTCAAAATAAAAAGAAGTGAGATGTAGCTCAGTGGTACAGCACCTGCCCAACGTGAGCCAGGCCCTGGGTTCCCTCCCTAGTACCGTGGGGGCGGGCATCAGCACGCTATGTTATGTCATCAACATTTGCTTGATATCCCCACGTACTTCTAGAAGTGCATACACATTTTTATTTAAAAAAGTCATACCATTTTCTAACCTGCTTTTGAAATGTAACAGTGTATTGTATCGTGCATATCCTTTCACGTCAGTGAATGCCATCTACAGCAGCATTCTAGTAACTTCACACTGACTGCACCCAACCACTGTGCTGTTTCTTGGTGGATTCCTGACCCCCTCAGCATCGGGGAGTGCCTGGCTGATGGGGTGGTTGGCTTTGCACACTTCTCTGAGCCAGGGTTCCCTCTGGGTTATCTTCACCACCACATCCGGTCAGGGCCACCAGCCTCTCCCTCTGCATTCTGCCCAACAGGCGAGAGACAGACCCAGCTCCCCAGTCTTATCACCCACCAGTAAAATGCCAGCAGTAACAGGACCACGCTTCTGTCCACAGTCTCGCTGTGTCCTTGCCTGGTTCCTGTGGCAGAGGCTCCCGGGCTCCAGACTCTAAGAACACCACCTGCTACCCTCACTCCCTCTGCCCCGCTGAGTCAAGCTTAGCTCCCTGCTCCCGCTGTCTGCACACATCCTGTAGATTCGCCCCAAGCCCACAACAGGCACCTTGCTCACTACTTTGCGGTTTGTCCCCAGGGTCTCCAGAGCTTCCTTACCCCTTCCTGGTCCTTTCTTAGACGAATCCCACGGTGCTCCTCCTCTGAAGTGCCCTGCTTGCTTCCTGAAGACAGGGAGGACGTTGTATCCCGCTCTGGAACTCCACAGGTACCTGACGCCTTGCCCAACCCCAGCGGAGAACATACACTGAAGGGAGAAATGGCGCCCTCTGGTCACTCGTCCTGTGTCCTCCTCGCCAAGTCCCTGCCTCCTTTATTAGATTCATACCCAGAGTACAGACAGAATGTGATTAGCTCCAAATTAGGAAGGACGGAAGGAACAGCACCCTGCGGCAGTCTGATCAGCCACAACTTCTCGATGCCACATAGACTACAAGGGCAGATTTGGGGGCGGTGGGGGCCAGAGACTGCTTTCCACTGCCTGGTTTTCCTGTCCCAGCGACCTCCGCGTGAAACAGGCAAAAACTCAAGCGAGGCTGCTCTTGGGGTGTGTGTCTTTACCATCCTACGTTAAGAATTCAGCCCCAGCTTCCCTGGGAAGTCAGTACCCAAGTGCTGCCTGCCCTTACCACATCAGGGCGAGACAGAGCTTGCATATACGCACCAGGAGGGTGGAGAGCAATCACCAGAGAGCCTCCTGGCTGTCCTCGCTGTGACCTAATCCTCGACCCACAGCTGCGAGCACACAAACACTTCCCACTCCCAAAGCCGGGCTCAGACAACAGAGGACACACCCAAGGTCACTGTCAGCAAAGAGCTGCACCTACCGCGTGCCAGCACTGCCAGATGCTAGACCTACACAGAGAAGACAGTTTCTGCCCCAGGGCAGGGGCAAACCTGTGGCACGCAAGCCACAGCGGGCTATCTGTATCCCTGAAAGCTGTCAAAAGTTTGCCATCACTGCCCTGGGGGCTTGAGGATGAGCTGCCACACGGTCGCAGGTGTTCCCAGAAAGTGGGATGAACAAGAGCCTGGCCTGAAGAGGGAGGCCCCTCCTTTAAGAAATGACCTGCTCGGAAGTCTCCTGCCCGGTGCCCTGTGTCTCCTGCTGGCGTGTGGCTCTGCACTTTCTAACACCCAGTGACTAGGGTGGCACTGTCACACTCTCCACATACTGAAGCCAATCAAGGATTGAGGCAGCCCTTGTGGAAAAAATCACTCTGATGCAGGGCTCCAAGACAGTTTTTCGTCTCCCAGCCCAGCCAGCTTCCTATTCCCCACTTACCCTCCGTCCCACCGTGGCACAGGCCCTGGCACTGCCCTGCGGCTCCCTAGGAGAAAAGGCAGCAGGCCTGGGTGGGGAGGCAAGAGAAGGGGTCTCAGGAGGAAGGGCTGCTCCCCAGGGCCCTACAGCGTCGGTGGTAACCAGGACAACCAGAAACAGGAAGAGGCTGACCTTTGGCACTGGGGGGCAGAGGCTCTGAAGATGACGTTGTAAGGCCTGAGCATGAAAGATGACAGGGAAAGTGGCCAGGCCACCTGTGCAGGCCTGTGGCTTCCCTACAGGTGACCTCACAGTCACTTAAGTTCTAAGCGTGGAAAATCCAAATTTACCAAAAAAGAGGCTGTGTGCTTCAAGAAATGAACGCAGAGTCCTTTGCTAACAGGACTGCCCCAGCTGCGGTTCAGCTCCACAAAACTGGTGGCCCATCTGTGCCCAAGGAGGGCGGAGACACAGGGAAAGACATCCCATGGCTCTGGCAGAACTCAGGCTGCCACGGGGCCCCGTGACACTGGTGGGGATTTGCTCGCCAGTAAGCAAGTGCCTCTGAGTCACGGTGCCTTGTTTCCCCACCTTGACAGCGAGAACACGCTCCCCTTCCTCCCCACCCGCTCTGCAGACTGATCCTGACCTCTAGTTCCACAGCAGGACTGTGGGCTGCAGCTTCAAGGGCTGAAAGCAGCCTCTCCCACCGTGAAGGCTTTCTCTGCTCAGCAGACCAGAGTCCCGCACCCAGAGGAAGCGTGTGGCCCCTTCTCGCTCGTCTTCCTCAGTGAGAGCACGGGATGGGTGGCAGATCTCTGGCAGCTTCTGGACCGCTGGGCTATGACACAGAGGCACCCATCCCCCCGAGCACCACCTGAGTCAGGCGCCATTTAATGCAATCAAACAGGGACACAGAGCCCCGCGGGGCTTAACCTGCGCTCCTCATGCCCGTGGTGTTTTATGCAGTCCCAACCTAATCTCATTACTGGGGACCAGACTGCACAAGATGTACAGCCCCGGGGCAAGCAGGGAAGGTGGGCAGCAGGAAGCCTGGCTCGGCCACGTGTTTATCAGCAGCAGGGTTCTGAGTTAGAACAGACTGTGGTCAGGGAGGGAACTGGATTTTTTTTTTTTTTTTTTTGAGACAAGGTCTCTCCATGTAGCCCAGATTGGCCTCAAACTCACAGCAATCCTGCCTCAGTGTCCCAAGTGCGCCACCACACCTGGCTGGATCTTTTTCTTGATGGATGAAAATGGCTCAGTTGTTGGAGAATGTGATTAAAGAGAAGGCAAAGTGAGGGCTGAGCTGCTGGACGGGGCCTTTTCTTACCACCCCACACCCAAGGTGCACCAGGAAGAAAGCAGAGCTGCAAGTCAACGTTGGGAATGGGGGGAGGGGCTCAGAGCCGGGGCTCCCACCACTTACAAACAGGAAAGTTTTCACCTTAATTAAAGTGAGAAGAAAATAAAATGAAAATGTTTGAACTTTTTAATCCAGTCTGAATGTCTGTCTTGATTACAATACAGACATAAATTTTTCAAAAAAAAATGATTGGTTTTAGGGAGGCAGGGCCCTCACAAAGCCAAAGTACTCAGGCCCATAAAAGTCACAATATAGCCTGACAAAGTGACACTCTCCTGTAATCCCAGCACTCTGGGAAGCTGAGACAGAAGGATCGAAAGTTGGAGTCCCGGGCTGGGGATTTAGCTCAGCGGCAAAGCGTCTGCCTGGCAAGCGCAAGGTCGTGAGTTCGGCTCCCGGTACCAGAGAAAAGCCAAAAAAAAAAAAAAAAAAAAAGAAAAGAAAGTTGGAGTCCCACTCGGGTAATTCAGCAAGAACCTGTCTCCAACAAATAAAAAAACAGTAAAGAGCCAGGGATGCAGCTCCGTGCGAAGGGCCTGGGTTTGATCCCCAGACTGAAGGAAAAAAAAGAAGCTGCAGTGCAACCTGGGCCAGAAAGATATGCGATTCAAAGTCAGCCCCGCTGTCCGTGACCGTGTTCCCAGGCAAGGCACGTCCCCTCTGTGAGCCTGCTCCTCTGCGTGCGAGTACAGAATCCGACATTTATTCAGATACAGTCATGTCCTCTTGTGCACCTGCTTCTTCCTCCATGAGGTGAGGGGACGGTAAGGCCCACCTCACTGGACTGCAGAAAGATTAAGTGGGAGAAATATCTGCAAGCACCTAGCGCGGTGCTGCGGCACAGTAGGCAACGGCTTGAAAACCCTAAATCTGTCCCTAATGACGTCTTCAGAGTCCCTCGTTGGCAGCACATGCCACACGCGGCTGAGGGCCATGGAGAGCCAGGTGACGGCAGGTTGTGCGCCCCTCCGGTAGGTCCCCACCCCCACTGAGCCTCCTCTCCGCCTCCCACACTCCTGGGGTAAGAAACTGCAGGAGAGGAGGCAGGATGAGCTGCTTTTGCTGTGTGGCGTTGTACGTTCTCAAAACCCATTTATAAGTTCATTAGAAAGCACCTTCCCAGTAAAGCTGGTTTTGCAAGTGACTGATTTCTCAAGCTCGCCCGCCAGCGCTGGCACGGCGAGGCTGAACCACCCCTGATTCGCAGGAGTCCACGCCGGGCCTGCCTAGGAAAGGCGGCGGGGCAGGGGAGCCGCGCCGGCTCCGCCTCCGGTCGCAGGAGCTCCTCCGGCATATTCCTGCCTGGATCTAATTTCAGGGAAGGTTGAAATCTTCCCTGAAATCTAGAGGAGAGGGCAAGGCTGTTTTATTTTTGTTTCCATTTGTTTTGAGAAGGAAGGGAATCCAAGCAACGTAGGACGGACTTGATTTAATGAGTTTTAGGAAACTCTCAAAGGCTGCCAAGGTGGAAAGAAGAGAAAGGACAGGGGCGGCCGGCAGGGAGAAGACCCTGGACAGGCGCCAGCCTCCGAGGACGAGCAGGACGGCGTCCACGCGGGCTCCCTCCGCGGCCGCGGCGGAGCAGGGAGCAGGTGTCCGGGGCGCGGCTCAGCCAGCGCCAGGGCCGGGCTGCGCGCCCGGAAACTGCCCTCGCACGGAAAGCGGGTGTCGGAGGAGCACGAGGGGGGCATCCCCGGCCACTCTGCACGCAGGACCCAGCCGCCGGGCGGAGGGGCCCGGTGCCGGCTCCCGAGGACCGATCGGCCCCCGCCCCGCGCCACAGCCGGCCGCGAGTCCTCGCTTTCCGCCGCG